AAGTTGCAAAAGTCTAAAAAGTAGCTGAAATGACCACATAAGCTGCAAGCATTTGTACACACATTTTTTCACTTGCAAATTCCTTACCTAATCGTTCACTTGCACGTATCGATATGAATACGATTCTTATTTATTATTATATTATTGCGTCTATAATTAATTGCTATTAGTAAAATAAATTCAGATTAATTAAAAATATTAGTCAATGGTTGAATTTTAACAAGTAATAAAAATTAAACGGAAAACATTTCAAATAAATGAATATAAAAATTATTTATTGATTGCATGAAGTGATAAGCAATTACTTGTGCTCTCTCTGCTGAAGGACACAATCAGAGGAGATTAATTACATTAATTTAAATAATTCTTTTATGTATATGTATTATACAGAGATGGTTGCTTTATTTACTTTAATTATTTTACAAGCTCAACGATTAATTAAAATTAATTTTTTAATAAAATATTACGTATGTAGTACTTGATTGCATGCATGTATTGATCAAAGTAGTTTTAGTTTTTAGCACTTAAAACTTTACTCATTATTTAAGTTACAATTATCGTTTCCATGATGAAAAAGTTTTTTTCATGCATTTGATGTAGAAAATGTAACAAATTCGCTGAATCAGTGGGCTGGAAGAGTGCTTGAATCAGAAGGTTTTTGCAAAAAGATTCAATTCCCATTTAATAAAACGCTTCTTTAATACTCACTAATATTTATTATTATTATTATTATTATTATTATTATTATTTTATTATTTCATTTTACAATGCTTTGAATTTATGAAATCAATAAGAAACATAACAGTGATAACAAAACAAGGCAAATTGTTTTTGCTTCCATTTGTTTGGGTCAAAAAATTCACTCACCATAATTGCATCGTATTAAAGTTCTATTCCCTTGAAAAATCCAATTATTACCAATGAATTATCGCAGTAATTACTTCCGATTATATTCTCTTTCATGCTTATTTATTGTAGCAATTACACAATTTATCAAGACTTTCTGTTTTTGAACTATTGACCTTTGGTTATTGCAAATTTTGCTAGAAGTAATTAATAAAATAATTGTCTATAACAGTTAAAAATTAATCTAACTTTTTATAATCAAAATTTTGCATGCACGCACACATTTTAATGATCAGAAATCTATTAGTGAAGCGAACAATGCAAGAAGTATTTGAATAATTATTTGTGCAGACAACACTTTCAGTTGATAAATATTTATGAATTAAATGGAATAACAATAAAAGAATCAGCAGAAAAGCCAAACTTAACATAATGCAATAACAATTTTGTGAATAATATATAGTAAGATTGCTATTTATTCTTAGTGGTATTTTTAAGTTCTGATTAAGTATAAGACTTGTTCTGTCTCTTCTCTACACGTTGTTAATCTCACATTGATTACGCGATTTAATCACGTAACGTTGCATTGGAAAACTTTTTTAAATTTTAAATGAATAATTTAGCAATTTTTAATTGAGTGACATTTTAGCTGAATTGCAATTTTCTTTATTGACCGAACCAAGAGTAAAATATAAAATTAGACGAAAGACGGAATAATAAAATTTGCACTTGTAACCAGAAGGAACAGTAGCTTCTCCGAGAGATACTAGACATCAGGAAAATAGTTGAAAGAGAACCGCACTGCTGGGAGTGCTGAATGGATATTGATGATGGCTATTCTCGTCAGGCTGCTCGTCTTCTCATACTACTGACTACTGGTCATTATTGATAAATTGGTTTCAACCTTAAATTTGCTAAAAACTTGCATAATTGGTTGGTCAGTCGATGATTGCGCAGAAATTAGCACAACTGAAACAAAGTTCAAATCGTTGGCAGCAAAGATCATCCGAGAGAGCTATCCCACAAGTCCCGGGAACTCTCAGTGAGCGCAGAAATGCTTTATTACAATCCAAAAATGTTAGTATATTTTGAATTTTTTCTTAGCATAAAGGGCAGCAACCATTAGCATCGATTTTCATGTTCAAGCAGATGTCGCACCGTAGCACAGTCAAGAGTGCAAACAAGAATGACTTTGTGGTTTTCATTGGGTCATCACAGCTTGAAAGGCCTTTTGCTAGTCTACATAGAGGGTCAGCGGGAGGTCGGCTGCATGCAGGGGTCAGCAGGGGGTCGATACATGCTGAAATGAGGTTCAAAAGAATTTCGTAATATAGGTTTCTTATTCCTCTCATTTTTTGTATTTCGTGACAAAAAAAACTCCGAAAGTTGACTTCTGAGGTCAGTTCGTTTTTATGACTATTTTTCACTATGCAAGGAAAGGTCAGGTCAAAGTTCATGTAAGACAATGCTTGTTTGATGCATTGTATTACATGAACTTTGATCTAAATTTGGGAATAACTTTGCTTCTTATATTATTTGCATTACTAAATTTGGGAACTACTCTGCTTTGCACATTATTTGCATAACCTTAAGCATATTAACTTTTCTAACTTATATTTATTGAAAATCACAATTGCTATTGTTCCCATTGTCAGTGAGTACTTTTGGTAACAATAAATTGTTATTATCGGTATTTGAGTACTGTAAACCATATATTTAATACAGTTATCAGAATATTGTACTGTCTGCTTTTACGATTACGAATGAAGAAATTTGCAGAAAGTTATCTTTGCTTCTTTTATTACAAATTCATAGCAATTATTTATTCTTTATTATTACGCTAATAATTATTTTAATTAATTAGACAGTCTGCTGAATGTTACGATGAAGAACGAATACTGTAAATTGATTTAGGCTTTATGCACAAAAAATGTGCATACAGAAATAATTAAAAATATAATAAATGATATGCCAGAAAAGTTTATCCGTTATGGCGTCCACTGAGTACTACAATACGATATAAGAGGTTTTGTTTGCATATTTGTTAAGAATTATTTATACTTACCAATAAATGACCTTCAACGTGTTCATCACACTAATGAGCACATTATATCTTTCTATCTATTTTTATTACTATTTTACTTGTATGCAAAGGATAAAAATGTTTTTCAAATAATACTCTTTTTTGTACTGAATTAAACTTTAAATTGTAATTAGTTACATCACAGATCAAAGCATTAAAAATAAAAAAAGACTAAATAAATAGAATAGCAATTAGATTTTATGCAAAAAGTGTAACGTTTGATAAATCAAGAAGATTCATTAAGCAATGACGTAAGTACTGCAGTAAAGTTTATAATTTTTGCTATTATTATAATTAAAATTAAATTATCATTAATTAAGTTATAATTATAATAATGAGTGATATAAAGCACAAATCTAAGTGTGATTGTGCGCAATGAAATAGATCAAATTGATATTGCTACTGATAAGATTTATTTGCTTTAAATTAGTACGTACTAATTTAGAACATGTTTTATTTGTCTTGAAAACGTATTTTTTCCCATTTGAAGATTTCTTTAAATTTGTGCTTACTTATTCATATCTGTAATAATTCAAAAACTATTTACCTGAATAAATAGTAAGATTTGGTCAGTCAGTTGTTTGCTACTTAATGTAAAATTGTCTCTATCATTATTTCTTCTAAATACATTACACTTTTTAGTTTACCTTAGTGATTTAGCTTTATCTTTCTTCTAACTTTACTGCTTTCACTTTTTAATACAAGTGTACAGTGTGTTTGACAGAAAAGACTTAAGTAAATTTTTGTATTTTGTAAGCAATCTTTAACTTTTTTCTTTGCGCATCATAAATTTGCATAATTTGTATTTTATTCAATTTGTTTTTACTATTTTGTTTTTGTCATTCAATTTGAGTACAAAAAATTATTCACAATTTGTAAATTGAAATTTGCTATCTTCAAGAAAAATAAAATTGAAAAAACTATTCAAAAGTGTGCTGTAATTAACTTGAATTGCTTTGATGAAAACCTTCAAATCACTGCTTTGTAAACTCGTTTCTTCTACAGATGCTTTTTTGTTGTTTTTAACAAACTTTTAATTCAAACTTTTGACAAAACGCAGAAATCGCTGCTAAGAATAAGACTAATTTCTATGCAGATAAGTTTTTATATTCAATTCAGTACTGCTAATTTTTACAGCACTATGATATTGTTCAAATTTGACCTCTGCTGGAGTATTTCTATCTATCAAATAATAAAGCTAAATTTACTGCTAACTTTACTTCATACTGTCTTTCAAAATTGTGACCAATTTGTAAAGTTGAAAGTTGAAGTTACGAATATAAATTAAAGTATTATAGCTTATTGTGGATGGCGATTGTGTGATGCTAGCTGAAGGCAGTGGCTGCGTGCCAATTAGTGACGTGAAAAAAGCTGTTGAATTCACAAAACATGCTCTAATCCAGGTTTTTCCTTGTTTCACACTTTTGCACGCTAGAATATGAAATATAGTAGAGATTGAAGAGGCCAGAATCTGAACTGAAGTTTTGAGTCATAACTTTTTTTTTTTAGTTTGATATTCTTGATAAGCTTTTTACCTTATTAAAAATCGTAAATTGATCAAATTTGACGATATGATATTACAGTCAGCTGAGCAATGGCGTAATCGAATCAAAACAGATTCCGAATTACAGAATCTCAGCGGGAAAAAGCGTCTCCAGAAAGACTTCCCTACAAAAGAAATACGCAAAGAACAGCCAAATACGTTAGATATTGGAAAAGGCTTAGATAGATTCTATTCAAATCTTTCTTGCATTTCATCGCTGGGTAAAACGTTCGAGATTAACTGCAGCGAGTTTGAAGATGCCATATCATCTTACCCAAAGTAGGCTATTCATAATAGCCTTCAATACTGTTTATTCTAATCTCATAATTTTTTCTATTACTAATACTAATAACTACTATAATAAATAATTTGTTTGCTAGGCATTGGAAATATCGTCTAGCAAAATTATTACCACGTGACCTCTGAAGATCTCATTTTTATTTTTTTATTCCTCTTTATAGTAACTGTGAATGGAACATTCATTGAGGCAACAGTTAACCATTTAATTTGATTCTGCTGAACTAAATCTTGTGATGGTTTTAAAACCAATTGAATTCCCCTAGACGTGTTGCAAACATTATCAATCTCCCGATCGGACCCGATCAATGAATAAATTAATAAATAGGCTCTTGCCTTAAACTTTTCGAGTGACCATTCATCTGCGAGATATCTCGAACAGACTTCTCCGTCCGTAACTTCAAGCACGACAATATCATCACAAATATAGAAATTTTATCACCATTTACGATCGTTTGGCATAGTTACGAATGCCTCGTTAATAATAATCAGAAGCATTACTTGTTAACAGGGACGGTGTAATTTCAAAGAATGCCCATCTATCTATCTATTCATCTATTCATCTATCTATCTATCTATCTATCTATCTATCTATCTATCTATCTATCTGTTCTATCTACCAATTTCGCATCAAAATTTGACCTAACTTTGACCTGCACTTTTTCTAACTAAATATAAATCATTCGCATTTTGTCTCCGCGTTATACTAGTCCAATTAAATTTTAAGCAAAATGTTTGTAAATTGCACAATTCTGTCTGAAATATCCCAAAAAATGAACAAATTGCAAATATAATTTGAAAGAAAACTGTGAAAATAGCAAACAGAATAATAGAAGCAATCAAAGATTATTTGCAAATAATTTGTTTTTCAAAAAAACAAATCGAATCTTAAAAAGTTGACTTTCTCTTTTATAGAAATAAAAATATTACGATGAAATAGCATAAAGAATTTGGAAAAAATTTAAGATTGGTCGTTCCCATTCGAGCAGCAGTACGTGGACGTAAACGACGTAGCAAACGTAATTCTTCGCGACAGTTTTGTAATTCTTCTGTACAAGTAACAGACTTACACTCAGATAATTTTGTGCAAAAAGTTGATGATAAAGTGAGCGATGAAGTGGGAATTTCTAGTAGCGCTAAGAAAGTTAGTTATTCTTACATATGCGCAATTTTTAAAATATATACTTTTTACTGCTAAAAATTTTTTATTATTTAAAATTTTTGTTTGCTTCATTTTCAATTCTGAAAGCTTTGAAGAAAATATTTGTTTTTTAGGGTCTTCAAAGCAAATTAGATTACTCAACTGTAAAGTTAAAAAAACCAGAAGTAAAGTCAGTATATCCTGAATTAATGCTCCTTCGACTCAAAGGTTACCTTTTCAATCATATTAATAACGATTGACTGCGCAAGTTAGTTATTACTTTTGTATTAATGTGTACTAATAAAAATCCTTGCTAATTTATTTATTATTTTTAGTAGACCGCAGAATTTTGCATGTACACACACTTATGTAATAAATTTTGTATTACGCACTCTTACGTAATGACATAATTTACAAAAAGCTAAATTGACTAATGCAAAACCAAACTATAAGATTTAAAATAAATTAAACTTATGAAGTTTTAATTTTTTTAAGAAGAAATTGATAATAAGTTTTTAATACTTTGTAATGATCAATTGTGGTTAAGGAGAGAAATACGTTGACGTACGTTTGGTTGCACCAAGGTATACATCAGTTCATGCTTTTGCTGTATTCATTTTGCTAACGCCGAATAGACTGTTTTTATTTCATGGCAAATATGCAAATTTACTTGAGAAAAGCAAAGTAATTATTAATATTTCTTATCGTAAAAAGGTCTGAATAATTTTGTTTACATTTTGTATTGCAGTAATTTTTGTCATATTCTACATTGCTGCATAATTTATCTTTTATAGAATGTTTTCTTTACTGTAAAGATTTGTTGCAATTAATTTGACCTGTCCAAATTGTTAGCAAAAATTTGAATATGAAAATGTTTGAAATCTCAAATTTTAAAATAATACAGTGAAAAAATTGAATTCTAGCTATGAAAAAATGAATTAGATCATTGAACAAAAAAACTATCAATTCATTTTTTTAAATGCTTTATATTATTTTCCATTTAATTTTACTTTGATATCTCGTAGTCTATTCATTCAAAAATTTCTAGAATAAAAATGAATATTTAAACAGATTAGCCTAAAAAAGTGTCTGTGATTTATTTTAAAGTATTAATTAACTATACCATTAAATTTATTAATATCCTCTTATGATGATGATGATATTTAGAACAAACTTTTTTTGTGATTTTATCAAATTTTAATTTTAAAATAAATTTATTTGAAGAATTTACTTCAGGCATTAATAATCACGACAAGTATATGTGAGAAGAATGGTGAATTGGGCTGTAAGGTGAAACATTGTGAAAATGTTCATGAAGGCAAAGGAGTACGCGAATTCTGGCATTTGCTTGGTTTGAATGAGATAGAAATCGACGGTAATATACGTGGAGAATACGTACCTGATAATCTTTTAACTTTAAGTGAACCATTTGAATCACTTGCTGCGCAAGTAAACACGATTTATGAAGTTAATGAACAGCATATCATGAAACAAATTTCTACTGCTGAAGTTCCCAAACTTTCTTTCTTGCACCCTAATAAGGTATTTTTGTTGATCACATGTTTAATTAGTAAATTTGACAAAAAAGTTTTCAATAAATTTTTTTATTAATCTTAAATTTACTCAAAAATAAATTTGAAAATATATATTTATACTTACATATATACTTTCAAAAGCAATATTTTAAAATCGTTATTTTCAAAGTAATTACGTTTAAATGCTAGGTATGATATTACGTATTAATATTTAGCGTTCAATTTAGTATTTCCTTTAATATTGAGTGATGCATTAAAATCAAACTTTCTGATTTTTGTGTAATGCAAAGTATAGTTCAAAAGATTAGTTTGAATACCGGTATTTAGAACAGAATTTTAAAAATTGAGCATATATTATTAATTGCAGCATTTTGAGATAATTGGAGTCGTCAGACATAAAATGTTCAGTTATGCCAAGAAAACATTTAAATAACTGAGAAAGTAAATTTCAGTAAGCAGTAAGCTAGTAATGAGTGAAACTATTGTAGGGCATTATTTAACTTTAGTATTTGTCGACGATAAAGTCTAATTAATTGTGGAATAGTTTCTGAACTTTCTTCCAATTTTAGAATCTGATTTTTGATTTTGGATCTGAGATATATGTTTGGGTTGGTCGCAATGCCAATCGCCAACAAACGCAACAAGCAGTTATCTATGCAGAAAAATTAGTTTGTATTTTTCACTTTCTAATTTATCGTTTTTTACATTTTATTTTTAATTTTAGCAAGAAATTTAAATCAAATCTGTCATACTAACAACTGATGAAAAAAGCTGTGATATGAATATAAAATATGAGAATTGCTATTTGATGTGAATGAAATGTAGAATTAAGTTTAACATTGCAATTCTGTTTTCTTAAGTATTAAACATGGGAAGTTGGAATCTATTACTATTACTGTTGATGAGATTTCGTGATAATTATCACTGAAGTGCGCAATTTTTGATCTATTAAAGATTATTGAATGCTATAAAAATATTCATCGAAGTTTCAGTTTTTAAAAATTTTTCATATTTTTCTTCAATGTATGTAATTAAAAATGTACAAATTAGTAATTTATTTTCAGCGCAGAAAAGGATTGAGAATTCAAGCTGGAATGGATTATCAAGTGATATTTGGAGATAGTTTCGAGATTGGTAGACCAGATTGGTGTATTGTTGTGAAGCTGATTCAGGGCTTACATGATTCTCTTTTTCAACATAAATTTTATAATTGGCAAGTTGTTCCATGGCACAATATTAATTGTACTACAAAATGTAAGCAAAAAATCACATCTTCTCCAATATCATTGCAAAGTGAAGAAGAAGAAGCACACAACTTAGGAAGGTACGGAATATTAATTAAAATGCACAAAATTATCGGAGAGTGAAAAATATTATTAATCATAATGATAATGGCAGTAAGCATAATTACAAAGTACAAAGTTAGTGCAAGTAATAAAAAGTTTGATTAAGCTGAAAAAAACAAATAAAAACTTTATAAGTTATTAATTAATTTGGTGAATGATAATTTATAGAAGTAAAATTTTTTTTCGAAAAAGTCAAGAATTGCTGTGATGGAGAGGTCAAGTAGTATAAAAAAGGTATTGTATGAATTGAAAAAGAAATAATAAACAAAAATTGCTAAAATAATTTAGAATATTGTTCTTTTGTAGAAATCTTGCATGTCAAGTAGTAGAGGAGCCCGTATTAATTTTCGAAGAAACAATGCTGTCTAGAAATTGCAGCAACATTTTCACAGAAAATATTCGGTATTTTATTATGGAAGGTGAAAAAAAGTTACGTGAAATGAATGATTTGTGGATACTAGAAAATAATCGGTGTTATGTAGTCAAGTGGGAATATCGAATAGAACGTGGTGGTAAGAAATGATTTGCTATGTAATAGTAGTAAATAATATTTAAATTATAAGAAAAAGAAAAGGAGAAAAAAGTGAAAAAAATTAAGTTTAGGCGTGCGTAAATTAGATGGAAGTGAACGTGAAAAAGAAACAGGTCGTCCACGTGTAGCATACTTTTATTGGCTTGGCAAGAAAAGTAGCAAAACTGAACAAGGCCTCTGTGCATTAGCACTGAGAGATTATGATAAGGAGCATTTTCCTCATGAAAGAATTTTACAGGTTATTTTAAATTTTGTTTTTGAAGCATCAATATTCTCACATTTATTATATGTATGTGTTTTTATGTTAATTCATTACTTAATGAATACCTTTGGAGAACAAAATGAAGAAGTTTAAAGTAAGTAAGTTTTTCAGCATTATGAACCACCACTATTCTTGCGGTTATTCAAAGGTGTAATGGTCATTCGAGGTGAAGGATCAGGTATTTTTCTAGTTTACAGTTCGTCATCACATCCAGAAGAGTCATTCATAGAAGAATTAAGTTCACCCGTTATTTATCGCTCACATGCTGTCTACATAATACTTACTGATGACAGAATCACAATTCTGAAAGGTTTAAACAGTTATGCTAATTTAAAAAGTGCTGCTCAAAGATTTGCCGAGAATATTAAATTACATTTTAAATTATTTCTACAATTTACTTCTGAACCAACAATTATTCATTGCGATTTATCGAAAGATGGAAATTATTCAGTCATTGAAGCAGATAATTGGGAAAAGGTGAATCCTATTTAATACTTACTATTTTTGAATTATATTAACTATATTAGAAACAACCAAATTATGCATTTATGCTTAATTTGGTTTCTAATACTTTGAAATTTATTTATGCTTTTTTTAAGTTTCTGTTTACTTTTATAGCCACCGAGATTATTCCGATTATATGAAAAATATGCTGAAGAATTAATTTGTGCCAACTGGGATCCATTACTTCCATTTTCATTTCGACAAGAAAGCTTCAGGTTTTTTTTTATTCAAATGCATTTCAAAAATCTTCAATTTTTATTAGCATTACTTATTTTTTTACTCTTTTAGGGATAATATAATGGTAGATCAAGGGAACCGGTTATGGCTTTGGAGTAATAAAATGATTACTACGTTTGTATTACGCGTGGCTGACGCTTACTGGTCATCTCATAAGGGAGTGAAAACTGTTATTTACAAAAAACAAGAACCAGACGCATTTAAAGCACTCTTTGCTGAGTGGAATGATTACAACGATGATAACGATGAAAACGTAATTATGATAAATTATTTACGTTTGTCATTATTTGTACGTGCAAGAGAAATTTCTCAAGTACTGGTAAAAATTACTAAGAAATGTAAACAAATATTCTATCGTTCTTTTTTTTGTATTTCTGCTTTTTTTTTGTATTTTGTGTTGCATATATAAATGACTTGTAGAAAGGAATCCATTATGAACCGACTGATTTGGATAAATTATTGCAATTGCGAACGAAAACGTGGCCCCTTGAACAAGTGATCAATAGAGATTTACCAGCTGGTACTGATACAAATCGATTAGAGCAGTACTTGACTGAGGACGATTTTCAATCAGTGTTCAGAATGGAACGTCACGCATTTTACGCTCTCCCATTATGGAAACAAATTGAATTACGCAAAAAAAACAAATTATTTTAATGTAAATAATGAAGGCAAGAAATAAAAAATAACAAGTCTTTTGAATTTTTTTTGTTTACATTTCATTATTCACAAAACATACTTGAAACTGAACTTGAAAAAAGTACGTAAAAAGCAGAATTCATTATAAAAGTAAGCACTGCTTTTCAAACACCATGAGATATGATTTAAGTGTAGATCAGGCAGATATTAGTCGGCTTTTTTGTCAATACTTAGTTTACTACCTTCATTGCATCTCAGAGGACATCAGAAGAGAGGTTTTGTTGATTCTCACTCAATCTTCTCATTACTACAATGTCAGGGCGAAAATTTTCTTTTTCCTTTTGAGCAAATAAATCAGTCTTTCTGAACATTTTATTTGCAATCACTACCTCTGAAATCACTCCGAATTAAGGATAACACGTCAAACAC